TCAAGAGACAAATAAGATGGTCAGGTATTCCCATCTCTTTAAGAACTTGCCACAGTTTGTTGTGATCCACACAATCAAAGGCTTTAGCATAGTCAATGAAGCAGAAGTAGATGTTTTTCTGGAACTCCCTAGCTTTCTCCATGATCCAGCGTATGTTGGCAATTTGATCTCTAGTTCCTCTCCCTCTTCGAAATCCTGCCTGTACTTCTGGCAGTTCTCGGTCCACACTGGAGCCTAGCTTGTAGGATTTTGAGCATAACTTTGCTAACAAGTGAAATGAATGCAATGGTGCAGTAGTTTGAACATTCTTTGGCATTGCTGTTCTTTGGGATCAGAATGTAAACTGACCTTTTCCAATCCTGTGGCCACTGTTGAGTTTTCCAAATTTGCTGGCATATTGAGTGTAGCACTTTTACTGCATCATCTTTTAAGATTTTGAATAGCTCAGCTGGAATACTGTCACCTCCACTAGCTTTGTTGTTGCTCAAACTTCCTAAGGCCCATTTGACTTCACATTCCAGGATGTCTGGCTCGAGGTCAGTGGCCACCCCATTGTGGTTATCAGGGATGATAAACTCTTTCTTGTATAGTTCCTCTGTGTAATCTTGGCATCTGTTCGTAATCTTTCTGCCTCAGTTAGGTCCCTGCTATTTTGATCCTTTATCATGCCCATCTTTGCATGAAACGTTCCCTTCATATCTCCAATTTTCTTGAAGAGATCTCTGGCCCTCCCTATTCTCTTGTTTTCTTCTATTTCTTGGCACTGTTCATTTAAGAAGGCATTCTTATTTCTTCTAGCTATTCTCTGGAATTCTGCATTCAGTTGAGTGTATCTTTCCTTTTCTCCCTTGCCTTTCACTTCCCTTCTTTCCTCAGCTATTTGTAAAGCTTCCTCAGACAGCCATTTTGCTTTCTTGCATTTCTTTTTCTTTGGGATTTTTTTTAGTTGCTACCTCTTGTACAATGTTGCGAATCTCCATCCATAGTTCTTCAGGCACTCTATCTATCAGATCTAATTCCTTAAATCTGTTTGTCACCTCTACTGTATATTCATCAGGGATATGATTTAGGTCATACCTGAGTGGCCTAGTGCTTTCCCCTACTTTCTTCCAGTTAAGTCTAAATTTTGCAACAAGAAGCTCATGATCTGAGCCACAGTCAGCTCCTGGTCTAGTTTTTACTGACTGTACAGAGCTTCTCCATCTTTGGCTGCAGAGCACATAGTCAATCTGATTTCTGTGTTGACCGTCTGGTGATGTCCATGTGTAGAGTCGTCTCTTGGGTTGTTGGAAAAGAGTGTTTGCTATGACCGTCGTATTCTCTTGACAAAATTCTACCAGCCTGTGCCCTGCTTCATTTTGTACTCCAAGGCCAAACTTGCCTGTTATTCTGGTTATCTTTTGGGTTCCTACTTTAGCATTCCAATCCCCCATGATGATAAGGACATCATTTTTGGGTGTTAATTCTAGAAGGTGTTGGAGGCCTTCATAGAACCGGTCAACTTCAGCCTCTTCAGCATCAGTGGTTGGGGCATAGACTTGGACTACTGTGATGTTGAATGGTTTGCCTTGAATTCGAACTGAGATCATTCTGTCATTTTGGAGATTGTATCCCAGTACTGCTTTTCCTACTCTTTTATTGACTATGAAGGCTACTCCATTTCTTCTGAGGGATTCTTGCCCACATTAGTATACCTGATGGTCATCTGAATTAAATTCACCCATTCCTGCCCATTTTAGTTCACTGATTCCTAAGATGTCGATGTTCAGTCTTGTCATCTCTTGTTTGACCACATCCAGCTTGCCTTGATTCATGGATCTTACATTCCAGGTTCCTATGGAGTATAGATCCTTGCAGCATCGGACTCTCCTTTCACTACCAGATACATCTGCAACTGAGTGTCCTTTTGGCTTTGACCTAGTTGCTTCATTTTTTCTGACACTACTAGTACTAGCCCTCCGCTCTTCCCCAGTAGCATATTGGACACCTTCCGACCTGAGGGGGTAATCTTCCGGAGTCATATGTTTTTGCCTTTTGGTACTGTCCATGGGGTTTTCATGGCAAAGATACTGGAGTGGGTTGCCATTTCCTTCTCCAGTGGATCACGTTTTGTCAGAGCTCTCTGCTATGACCTGTCTGTCTTGGGTGGCCCTGCACGGCATAGCTCATAGCTTCATTGAGTTAAGCAAGCCCCTTCGCCACAACAAGGCAGTGATCCATGAAGGAGCCATTTAGCGTTTACAGAATGCTTAATATCACAATGGATGTGGTTGTTCTATCACAGCCCAACTGCAACTGAAACACATGTGGTAGCAATATTGACAGGAAAAGATGGATGGAAAGAAGTGCATTGAGACTTAAATATCAATATATATGCATTTGCAAGCATATACCTACTTACTCAGAGATTTAGACAGGAATATTGCACTCACATACCCCGGAGTAAGCAGCATTGAACTCAATGCAGAGAAATATGTAAGATTGTACTACAAGCTTAATCATCACTAGATCAAGAAACACAAGAACAGGGATTTAATATCTCTTGGTGGCATAAGGTGCAGATGCAATCAAGATACGTTAAAGATTGTAAAGCATGGGGGGTTTATAAGGACTTAACAGCATTGGATCAAGCAATGCTTAAATCAGATGAGAAAATGATTAAAAGATTATATGATTTCCTACTTGACAGGAAAATGGAAGAGGAACAGGTTAAGGAAACTATGATAACATGGGCACAAAATTTTGGATATATTGAATTAGAAAAGTGGCAAAAGCTATGGGAGAGAAATATTAAGGTAACATTAGCAACTTCGTATAAAGAAAATTCATATAAAATGTTTATAGATGGAACTTGGCTTAGATTTAAAGATGTCTTTAAGTTATTACAAATGGATTTGAATATGACTATAGAATATTAAAAGATATGTAGTAGGGGACTGACCCCAGTACATCTGATGTATTTGATGATTGATGTTTGTAGTATTAGTTTAAAATCTTAATAAAATCTTAAAAAAAAAAAGCTTAATCACCCTTATCTGGGAAGAAGTCCCATTGAATTCAGCAGAACTTCTTCTGAGCAGATGTGCATGATTGTATTATTAATTTCTTGATATTTTTGAGAGTTCAAGGAAGATAAAATTTAAAGTGTCTGCATGTAGGCATATGTGTCCATACCAATACCATTTTGCAAAGCCATTCACAAGGCAAAATGCAACATATTTTACGAAGACAGGTCCAAGAAAAATGACTCTCCTTTGTAAGCAGAGACTTTGGATTATATGTCTATGGTTTCATGGGGGGGTGTAAAAAAGCCACTGATGAACACTTTGCACAGCATATCACTTCATATACTTAGTGGGTGGAGAAAATTTTTGCACTGTGGATGCCAAGATTTTCTAAGGTAATTAGGTTTCCTGTTCTACACATAAAACAGCAATTTTTGTATCTCTTAAAGTGGTCCTGTCAGGCCTCCCTAGTGAAAATATAGGGAAAATATAGGCATAAAAATAGGCATATTTTCCCTAGTGAAAATATAGGCATAAAAATGTTTAAAAAAATAGCACAGGATGGATGGATGGAGAAGAAACTTCAGCAATGGAGTGGGGTGGTGGTGGATAAAAGTATGGTGAAAGGGTTGGAACACAATCAGTGATCCTTGGTGTGAGATTAAAGGATGTTGAATATGCAAAAGGCCCTTTACTGTCTCATTTGTGCCATACACCTCTGCTATTCCCTCTTCAAGGCTCCAAGCATGTTGAAGTTGTTGCTCTCTCTACCTTCCTTCATTTCTCACTCTTGGCTGACAGCTGCAGGCTAAAACCAAGTTCCCTTACCCCAGAGGGCTTTCCCATATTAAGTCTACTATAGCAGATACAAAAGAAGCCTTGTGGCATCTTAAATTATCACAATGTTTTGCTTGTTTACTTGGAGGTGAGTCTCACTGCATTCAATGGGACTAGCTGTTTCATGTACATTTTTTTCCTTAGGAGTAAGAAAAAAACGCTCAGTGGCACTTTTTCTGGGTAAGCCACACCCAGTGATGGGTTCACAAGGCTGCAGTCCTAAATTCACTGAGGAAACCGTTTTTCCCAGTAAGCCTTGCTTCTAAGGGGCATAAGAGATATTATGTTAAATCTGTGCCCAACAGCCACATTTTTTAAAACTCTAGAATAGGTACCGGAGGGGGGGGGGCGCAAGACGGAAGTTGAAAGAATCCCCCCCACACCAGTTAGGATCCTGGCCCGGATCGGGCCCTCTGCAACTACTCTAAAGAAATGGGATGCTGGAGTTAAAGTAATGTTTGTTTTCGCCCCAAGCAACCACGCACAGAATCAGGCAATATGACACAGCAAGGCGAAACGAGGAGCGTATCGCCTCTTCCCATATGCAACTTCCTAAAAATGGCTCTGCACGGTAGATCTTGGATGGTCGCGTAGGGCGGGTTCGAATGACCACCGCCCCGGCTGTCGGTTTAAATTCGGATTATGCTGAATGAAAAAAACTGTTTTAATGCACGAATAGAATCTGGCTACTTTCTACAACTAAAGACTCTTGGATGGACGAGGCAAATACATAGAAAATTGGCATAAGTAGTCAAGTAACAGAGCAAGCATTGTGTTCAGTGAGCCTTACTCCCTATTCTGTGTGAAAGTGACGCGGTTTACTCTTCAGTGTACGTCTGGCATTGTGCGGCTGGCGGCGGCGCCTTTTCGTTGCAGCACTTTGAAATAAAGGTGCTATTGCAAAAAGGTAGTACGAAAAAGTTCTACAAGGCAGATCTTTATCTGTTCCACAGATCCCGTTCTCTTTTATTTCTTGCTTTCTGCTTGCCCCACGGTGACGACATCTCGCTGCGTGTCTTTCTGGCAAAACGAGCCGTTCGAACGGGAGGCCAAACGCATGCCTTGGAAAGGGGAAGGGACAGGAACACTGGCCTTCGAAGCTTCTGGATAATTCTCCCTTAAATCAAAACCAATTTAGAACACATCTACCAAATACTTTTAATTTGTTTTGCCTTCACTTTCATGCCCAGCACAACCCACATTCTTTTTCCTGCCGACTTCCTTCTCCCCCTCCCTTTAACCATCTGTCAATGACTGCTAAGGAGAAGAAACTCTTCCCTACTTCATTTTCTTCCCGTTTTTCTCTCCTCCATATACATTTCCACCTCTTTTGCCAGCAAACACAAAAATTCAATCAGAACAAGAAGTGATGGCTGCCTAAGACACGCTTAAAAATCTATATATCTCTTTGTGAGAACGCGATGCTGGCATTGATTGGACGCGGAAGCCTCCACGGGCGCGGGAAAGACCCGGATACTATACCGACACTCCCCCCGCTCCTATTTTTTTGGAGGGAGAAAGTTGAACAAATACCCGGATGTCACCGTGACCGGTCTAGCATCCTAGAAGAGTTTTTATTGAAAGCGCATGCGTACTCCTACATGCCCATAAGAAGGTATGGTCGACCTCACGTGATCTCATTTGGTGGGCGGGTTTCTATATAAGCGTCGCTCGGGCGTCGCCTCGGCCGCATTTTCAGCAGCTCCAGCCCGGGAAGCATTTCTTGGTAAGCAAGAAAGGGTGACGTTTGGCTTTTTTGGTTTTTTTTTTTTTTTAACCGTGTCAGGGAAGGGTTCTTGGACTGCTGCAGTTAAGTTCTGTGTGAAAGAGACGGTAGTAGCTAACTGTTCTCTGGCAGTGATAATCTAAATAAAACGGGAAGGAGGCACGAACGACGCGGCTTTGGAGCGCACGCGCGTTCTCGGGCCTTCCTAACGTGAAGGTGTGCGCATGCGGCAAGGATCGTTGCGAAAAGCAATGGAGGCATAGTGCGCGTGCGTGGGTAGCTGGCCTGCCGTTTGTTAAGCTGGGAGGGGGGAGGATGAGGAGGAACGAGGTGAGATCTTCCTCTGGAGCCCAGGAGGGAGCTCACGCGCAGGGCGCCCGGCTATGGCGGCGCCGCCGCCATTTTTGGCTCTCCAGATGCTGCTCTTTTCTATGCTGGAGATTTACAAGATGGCGCTTGAGGCGGGGAAATGGAGGCTGGCCTTGAGGCGCGGAGGGAAAGGCGCTCCTTCCTGCTCTCGCACCACCTTTCTCGCGGGCCTTTCATAGCTATGTCCCCAGCTAGTCGAGGGAATTGTGTCGAAAGGCTGGAGGAACAGAATATTTTTTGTCCAGCATAGTCCAGAATTCTGATGGAGCTGTTGCAGTGATTCTGAAAGCCCTTTCATAAACATCGATCTGGGTCTTGATCCAAATAGGCATTGTGTCAGTAAATGAGGGATAGTTGTACCACATAGAAGTCACCTAAGCAACAATATTTGAAGCTATGGCCAACCAATTAAGGATGTATTTCCTTGGAACAAGGTTAAGTATTTGTACTTCCCTTTGTTGCAGAAAGAGGGGATTTCATCATGCTTTTAACTGAGTAATTCAGCATGTGCTATATCTATTCTGATAAGCACTACTATGTTTCTCTTCTCTAGACTGCTAGTCACCATCATGTCTTCTGAAGAAGGAAAGCTGTTTGTTGGGGGTCTCAACTTTGATACTGATGAGCAAGGCCTTGAGCAACACTTCAGTTCTTTTGGCCCTATTTCTGAAGGTAGGTGTTCTTGGCTAGTTGAGGTGAGGGAGCTGTTTTTGAACTCAATGTAAGAAGTTAGTAACAACCTTGCATTGTGTTTTAGTTGTTGTGATCAAGGACAAAGAGACGCAGAGATCAAGAGGCTTTGGCTTTATTACTTTTGCCAATCCAGAGCATGCCTCAGATGCCATGAGAGCCATGAATGGAGAGGTGAGAAATTTGGAAATAGTTCTGTATTTGTGTAATTTATTCTTTCCCATTGTGTTGTATTTGCTTGAAGCATTTGAAATAAACCACGTTGAGCATTAAAGCTATTAGTGAACATTTAGTAAGGTCTTTTTTTACTACTGTCTGAACAATCATTTAAGCAAACTAGTATTTTTGCAATGTTCAGTCCAATGGACAATACAGGGAGGGGTATTGCAGAGTATGTATATGCCACCTGAATGCACATATGTTCACTAGGCTTGCCCCCTTCGTTGCATTAAAAGTACAGTGTTATCCATGCCCATATATTACTGAAAAGAAGCAGCCATATTAGTAAAAATTCTCTAATTCATATTAGAAACTAGAATGGGACTCTATTCTATGGTCACATCTGAATTGCCTCTTTTGGAGTTGCAAATGGTTGAACTTCCACCTTGGTCATCCTGTACCTTGTAGGATGATGGCCTTTACTGGTGGGATACTTTGCTTTTTCACCCTGTTTTTATTGCCGAGTACTTCCCTATGTAATCTCAGTTGACTGTTAGTGCAGACTTTTTCAACTTGGTGCTGTTCATACCCTTTCAACTCCATCAGTTTGCTAGTATTGCCGATGCTAGAAGTTGTAGTTTCAAACACCTGGAGAGCATCATTCTGGGAAAGTTGTTTTAACCCAGACTACATTTATTCCCACCTATTCATATTTCAGACAAGCTGCTCTTGAAGGTTTTCTACCACTTTTGCAATGTACTCATTACTTTCCCTGTCCCATCTTTAAACACCTGAGCTAAAAGTGCCTGGGTTCTCAGAAATACTGATGTTCTCATGAGTATATTTGTAGAATGTTTCAATGTACAACTTCTAATGAGACTGTCTTCTCATTGCACAAACTATAAAAGGTGCTAAGGAAAAAATTCTAGCTTGTAGAAAGATCACTGTCCTTAGTCTGGTCTAGGGTTGGAGGAAGAGAAGAAATCAGCTGGTATTAAGGAATTCATTGGAGCTCTAGCAGAACATTCATCCCTCTAGTAGCTGAAATGAGTGAATTATCCTGTGTTTTTATTCTGTATTGAAGATGTTGGTGTGGGTATAAGAGCTAGAATGTTCAGGTGTGAAGATCTAATCAATTGATGACAGATATTTTAATTTTGACTTTCAGTCTGTAGATGGGCGACAGATCAGAGTTGACCATGCAGGGAAATCTTCTCGTGGATCCAGAGGAGGATACTTTGGGGGCAGGGGGCGAGGCCGTGGCTATTCCCGAGGTGAGTGTCAGGAGGTAGCAACAGATTTTTTTAAGTACATTGAGCAAATGAAGAGGAATCTGGTTACAGGTGGCTTAGTTGTCACTCAGACATCTCTTTCCACTGCAGGTGGTGGAGACAGAAACTATGGTGGACGATATGACAACCGAAGCGGAGGCTATGGCGGTTCTCGGGACTACGGCAGGTAATTGTGGTGATGTATTCTACTTTACGCTTAAGTTCCAGTGAACAGATATAAAACTCAAGAACTTTGCTTTCAGAAGTCAGGGAGGCTATAACGATCGCTACTCCTCAGGAGGCTCTTACAGAGACAACTATGACAACTAAGGTAAGTAGATCTTGGGGAAGAGATTGAAAAGATTGCTTTGACAATATGTCCTTAAACTTTCAGTATTCCGACTTAAACTGGGTAGCAGCAGAAACTATAGCTCCCTACTGAGTAGTTAGTATCAATGCTGGGTTGTTTTGCATATCTGCCATTGATTCAAAACTCAACACTGCAGGCCTCAGTTCACATTACTGATTAACTTAAATGCATGTTGGACCCTAAAGAGCTATTTAAACTTCAGATTGCAAAATTGTCAAGAATGCTAATTGGGGGAGGGCCTGAGATTCCTAGCAACACTAATCTAAAAATCTAGAAGTGGTGAATTGCTGCAACATGTCCATATGCTTGTGCCTTTATGATTGTACCTGCTTCTTGTCCTCAGCTCACACCGAGTAAAAATCCTTCCTGAATCAAGATCGTCCTTCCAATGGCTGTATTTATAAAGATTTTTGGAGCTTCGCTGAATCTTGTTTAGTTACCTACTTGTATCTTCCCCCATATAGCTTTTGTCATATTGTAGCCTGAAAGCTTCCTCTGCAAGATGGCCTATTTAGACTTTGCTCAAAAGTTGGTTTTTTTTCAAGAGTGGTTTTTAAGCATTTTTGAAACCCAGTTTCATTTGTCTTGCTTTCTCAATCCAAGGTTTCTTTTAACTTGATACAATACGTGGGGCCCTATAAACTTCAAACTGCTGGAAGCTGAGCAAACTTGTGGAAAAGTGCAATGCACTTAAAGTTCAACTCTTAGCGTATCAAGGGAAGGTAAAGGAAAACCACCTTGGTATTACTAATGAGTTAAGTGGTTCACATTGGTCATTAGTAAAAGCTATTTTACTGTAAATAAACCCAGAAAAATTGAATACTTTGAGGGGTTCTTGAAAATGTTTGTTTATATTGTCCTTTTTTTACTGGAAGAAACATGCATAATTCAATTGACATTGTATTTGAAGTGGATAAGGAAGTTCCTGTACTAAGTTTTTGGCTTTACGAAGCCCATTAAAATCCCATCTGAAACAATTCTCTGCTCTTGACGTTTAACATATTGCACCGCACAACTTGGATAACTTAAAGGCAAGTAAGCAAAAGGATTTTGGGCTGCCTCTGGGGTAAATTGCCCAGGTAATGAGTTTAACATACACCAGTATCTCAAAGTTCATGTGAAATGAGAACACAAAAGCTGGCTTCATAGAGCAGATCAATTGAAAACATTGTCTGCTCCTCGTTAAACTGTTTGATTACAGGATATCTTAGCATGCTTTAACACAATCTAGAAGCAGCTTGATAGTCATGTATCTCCAATTCTGTATCAAAGGATTCTTTGATTTGAAATGGATACTATCAAATATATAACCCAAATCTGCACCAGTCAACGCATCTGATTCCTTAATAGTTGGAAATGCCAGTATGAACATTGCAGTGCTATACTGGGGAAGTGATTTTTTTTTCCTCATAAGTGGGTAGGGGTTGAAACAATTTCAGTTTAGGGACTGGTGGTGGTGAAATAGCTCTGGAATCTTTCATTGCAAATGTAAACAAGAGTTCCTTAATACAGTGGTACCTGAAAATCTTGGGATTAGCACCTTTCCCATGAAATAGCAAATGCTCTAACTGAGCCTTGATTCTTTTGAGGGCACTTCACCATTTCTGCTTTGGGGATTGATACTACCCTAGAGGGGGAAAGGCATTGGAATGCAATTTGTGCTGCATAGTAATGGATTTTTTTAATGTCTCACGTCCCCTCCCAACAATATATACTTGCAACGCCTTGTACTTCTCGATTCAATCATAAAATGCTTTAGTATTGCTGTTGCCAGGGAGGAAGATATGGGAAGGCACTTGACTCACTAATACAAATATTACAAGTAGGATTCTTCCTACTTTGGAAAAATGTGGCTTTGTGAGCTAAGTTGGTGGAGAAGGAAGCTGTTGAAACTTGGGGACCTGAGGCTTTGTTCAGGGTTAAGGCTAAACTGATGATGGTGCCTACATGGGCCTACCTGTAGTTAGCTCTGTCCTGTTCTTACACTGTGAGAATTCTCTGCTAGCGTGTGGAAGCCAGTGTCCTTGGAGACCCCGAAGTGTGTTGTGCCTCCTTCAGTGCGATCCATGTGAGACGAAAGCTGCTCTTGGCTAGTTCATTTGTGGAAATAGTCCTGTATTTCGAGGTAACTCTTTTGCTCATGTCTGCATCTTCTCTTCCACAGAGCTCAATTCTCGTGGCTACAGCAAACCACTGATACTTGCTGCTTTTGACAAACTTACAGGGCAAGTCTGGGGTCTCCTTGGACCCCAGAAAAACTTGGACTGAATCTGCTAATTTTTTTTATCCTGGGGGGAAGGCAGTCTGGCTCCTGCAGCTTGAGTACCTCCTTTCAAAAAATGGGGAAGGCAGTCAGCTAATGAAGACTCAGATTCATCCAGCTGCCTGTTGTCAGTTTCGTCCAATATCTCATAATTGTGCCTTGTGTGGACCTTGGACTGTTACTTGGGAAGTTCTTTCCCAATGCAGCATGGTTTGGGTGTGTGGGAGGCCTCTGTTCCCACTTTGTAAAACTTTTTTTTCATTTCTTGGTATTTGGTTTTAGACAAGTATCTAAACACGGGAGAAAAAGCTGATCATTAACTTGGAATCTCCTGAGGGCTAGGTGAACAGCATCACCCAGGCCTGGAGTTTCCTGTTAGAACAGTATAACCTGAATACAGGAAGAGTTTGCATGAATTTGTGTTAAGTGGCACTTGACTTGTTTTTGGCAGGTGAGAGAAGATGATGTCTACTGTCCTGAAAGAATAAGCATTGCCCTCGATGGTGCAACAAGCTACCAGACTAGGAGGTGAATGCTTCAGATGGGATCCTGAATCCATACAATGAAGTAAGCAAGTCTTCAGTCACCCTTACCATGATTCCCGCCACAGCTTAAGCAGGATGGCCTTTATGCAATGCTATCTAAAAGACAAATCTCCAGTATGGGATCCTGTTCTTTAAAAAAAACAAAAAACAAATCCTTAGTTTGCTATAGCTGAACAGCAGTTGTGCTGCAGTGTTTATACGTTGTATTATAGCTTCGGGGGTAGCCTGTATAATGACTGACTAGCAGTTGCTTTTTGCAGAGATTCCTGTACTGACTGAAGGATGTGACAAGTGGGCACAAGGAAGATGCCTTTTGAGGAGACACCTGTGTGACAAGCTGGACAGGTTTGTTTAAAGTGACTTGCGTGCAGAAGCAACTGAAAGGAGTTTCTTGAATTCAAGAAAGACTTCAGCAGAAAAGCCCCCAACACACATGGTTGATAGCGAACTTGCTCTATGAGTGCCTCAGTTCAGTATGCTAACTTAGTTTTTTGCATTCCATACCAGGTTGATGGCATCACTGGAATGTATCAAGACTGACAACACTTTGGCAGTATAACAGCAATTGTGGACTCGTGTTAGGTTGTGCATGTAATGGCTGTTGGAATGAATGTTTATCAGAAGGGCATTTACGTGCATCAATGGTAATGGCTTGGTCCAGTTGCGAAGTTAAACTAGAAGAGCATGCTAAACTTCGATCATTATGAATGGTGTTTCATGTGGTTTATTATCTTGTCAAAATGTATGAAAGGGGGTAAGGGGATCATAAGTGGAATAAATTCATAGTATTGGGGTGAGGGAATACTATAAGCCTCCAATATGAATTCTGCAGAGGGCAAGCCTATATAGAGATTTTAATAGTAGCAGTACTATAAAATGTATGTTTTTTTTTTTTTTTTGAAAAATTAGTCTGCCTGTCCTCTAGCAGCATTTTGGATTAAAGTTGTCAATGTAGTCTATCATCTAATAAAATTGTATTGATGGAACAGTCACTGGCTTAGTGTTGTACTCTAATAACTTTAATCAGCATCACACAATTGTAACACACAACCCTATAGAAAGAAGTAGTACATGTTGGAAGATTAGCAGGAATAGCTTTTTACCTAGAAGGAACTAACAATGTTTTGGTTAGAGGAAGAATATTCCCATCTCTAACAGCCCTCTGTGTGGTCCAAGCACAAAATGCAAGCCATTGACAGAATTAAGCAGAACTGTTTCCTGCTATTCCAGCTTCAGTACAAGTAAAGAATGCACATTTACTCTAATCCAGATGCTTCTCAGACTTCATAAGCATCCCTTAAATGTTGTATGTGGTTATGTAATTGATAGTTGATGTGTGAATTGGAGGGATCACATTAAAATCCCATCATTCCTGAATAAGTGCCTCCCATTGCTTATAAGCAACAGTGAAGGAATTAAGCTCAATAGTAATCTTATTGATACCAAAGGTAGAACCTAAGACTGAATCCTTTACAAATCAGTTTATTCTCAGGTCTTTGAAATGAAGATCCGGAACAAATGGAAAGTATACACAGATCTCTGGCTTTTAAGATGAAATGTGTTAATGGCAAACTTTCAGTATTTGCTTCAGTTAAAGTTGGTGATAATTAGTTTCCCTTGACATGTTATATGGGCCTGCTAGATCGGTATGGATAGGTACAGTCCATGTATTGGGAAGGAGTTATAGTCTAGCATATAAAGTTATATAACCTGCATGTGAGTATCAGACATCTCCAAAAGTCTGCACTTCCTGATAGCATTTATTGGAACCAGGTTTTGTAGAAGTTTTTCTGTTTCTTGCTTAGGAATATAAGAAAAGTCATGCTGGATCAAGGCAAAGGTCTATCTAGTCCAGTGCTCTGTACACATGGTAGCTAACCCAGTTACCCACAAGTTCCCTCAAAACATGATGGGTGTAAGAACCGCCCCCCCCCACACACACACCAAGCTTTTCAACTGGTGTATGCAGACATGTCATCTCTGCTAAAGGAGCACATAGCAATATTAGTAGCCACTGATAGCCTCTGCCCTCCAGACTCAGCCCAACAATTCCTTAAAGCCATCTGGATTGGTGGCCATCACCACTTCCCAAGGCAGTGAATTCCATAGATGAACTATATGCTGTGTGGAGTACTTCTCTGTATTTAAACTTTTCCAAGCTGAAACCTTAACTCTACATTTACCCAAGATCACCGTAGACAGGGACTGCAACCAAGAAATTAAAAGACGCTTTCTCCTTGGGAGGAAAGCTATGGCAAATCTAGACAGCATACTAAAAAGCGGAGACATCACCCTGCCAACAAAAGTGTGTATAGTCAAGGCTATGGTTTTCCCAGTTGCAATGTATGGCTGTGAAAGCTGGACCATAAGGAAGGCTGAGCGCCAAAGGACTGAGGCCTTTGAATTGTGCTGGAGGAGACTCCTGCAAGTCCCTTGGATCACAAGGTGATCAAACCGGTCAGTCCTGGAGATCAACCCTGACTGCTCTTTAGAAGGCCAGATACTGAAGATGAAACTCAAATACTTTGGCCACCTAATGAGAAGGAAGGACTCCCTGGAGAAGAGCCTAATGCTGGGAACAATTGAGGGCAAAAGAAGGGGACAGCAGAGGATGAGGTGGCTAGGTGGAGCAGTCAATGAAGCAGTTGGTGTGACCTTAAGTGGACTCTGGGGCATGGTAGAGGACAGGAAGACCTGGAGAAATGTTCCCCATGGGGTCACAATGGGTCAGACAGGACTAGCGACAACAAAGCTGAAACCTTAACTCTACTCATTTTTCCATGTACTGCTGTAGTTCAGCATTAAGTTTACAATTAAGCTTTAGCATTCTGTTATCTGACTTGGAGGAACTTGCCAAGGGCACTGAATTACTTCAAAACAGTCAGATAGAAAGAATTGTTCTAGCTGTGCTCTGAAGGAACTGCCTCTGTTAAACTATTTGATCACCATATGGAGGATTCAGTAAATGCATATGCAAGAGACTTAGTATATGAAAGATTTTCACATGAAGTATGTTTTGTAGTGGCTTCCCCTAAGGGTGCAGGGGAAAGGGCCTTACCATTACTTCTCATCAGGTAGTACAGTCTAACTCATACAGTAATGGGAAATGATAAAATTGATAGTACTTTCAATTTCTATACCTAGCTGTCAAGCATGTTTTCCAGGAGATTTGTTAAGCAGTAATTTTTAGTGCTGCTTCCTGCATGCAAGTTGAGCCTTTCATGGAAATAGGCAAGCTTTTCTGGGTTTTGTTTTGTTTTGTTTTTTGCTTTCTGAAGCACATCTTGAGGAACTTAAACTTGTTTACATCAGCTACAGTGACTTCCATAAAGGAAGTCATCCTTGAACTTAGAAGAGCTGCACGGGGTTGCCATGGAGAGATCATTTGGAAGACTCATAGGGTCTCCATAAGGTAAAGATGACAGCATACAGTAATAACTTTTAGAGGTGTTAGAGATGTGTACCTAGCTTTATAAAGAACTTCATCTATAAGGAGTTCATTTAAAAGTACTTTGAGAGGGACTAATGAACACAAACAGAAAGGCCAAGCTTCTGCCTTTAAAATGCTTGATCGTTTTGCAGCATCAAGTAGTCCTGGCCTCTGTTCTGCTATATGAATTGCAAGCGACCATCTGAAAATGAAGAGTGGCTTAAGTTGACTTTGCAGGATTGGAACCAACTGAAACCTGGTGAGTTCGAAGAAAGTCTTCTCTCACTTTGTAGGGATTGAGGGGTTTCTGAAGTCAGCCATGGGTTTTGGATCATACAGGTGTTACTGGACTCAGCCAGTCAACAGCTGGGGCAAACCCAGGTGGACCCCAGACCCGAGCCAAACAGAGCCTGAGACGAGACTTAGAGCCAAAATCAGCTTTATCTAGTGCACTATAGAATAAAGGGAGACAAAAGGGGACATTCAGCCCAAAGCAGTGTCTCAAAAGTTGCACCCCAGTACATGCGTTTTATACCCTAGGTAACCAATTAGGTCACTTAATACACATCTAATGCATCAATACATCAATGTATGCACCCCCTCCCGTGCTGGAGAAAGAGTCCTTTCTTCTGTCAAGGACCAGACATTTCCCATGTCTATTTCTTATCTGCTCGAGATTCACACAGGCTTGCCATGTTCTTACTCCCTGAACTTTTGCAACTTTCATGGCAGCTAGAACCAGTTTCCACTGTCCCTTTGATTACTGTATGCGAGGTCAGGCTAGCGTGTTAGCTGTGGGTTACACAAAGTTCATTTTGTTCTTACCTGCCCTCCCTTCTGGGACAGTATAACTCTGGTGTTTTTACTATGGGGCCTTTCTCTGGCCAATTACTTTTGGGGTGCTACAATTGGCAACAGTTTCCCCCCTTCAAAGGAATCTTATTAAAATACAGATTCCTCTTGATTAGGGAGATAAGTTACTAAGCCTTTGCAGCTTTGCCTTGAAGGTGCAGACTGCTGGTGCAGGTGAGGGCCACTTGAACAGAAAAACATAGAAGCATAGAAACAGAATGAGTCCGACCCCTGGCCCCAGCTGGCCCCGCTCATGACATGCCTACCATGAGCAAGTCTGAGAAATATTAGAATGAGTAATTGTTGACAAATACTGTCAGCAACAGCAAGCAAAATAAGGAGGAAAGGCACAAAAAAGAAAATACAAAGTTTCACATTTTTGTAGTCAGCCTCAGTTGGAGAACAAAAACAACAATCCTACCAATCCACTTTTACCAGAATGTAAAGCAGGTTGTAAAGCATTGAGCTTTTGAATGAGATGCTTTAAACAAACAGTTTTGTCTTCTACAATGTTGCAAACCCTGTCCTGGCTTGCTAACAATGCAGTGTCTAGTAACTTTGTATGGCAAGTTGCTGAAACTGAGCTAACTTTGTTGTATGTCTGAAATGGCATCAGCTGTTTCACTAGAAACACAGAGAATGCAGAGGCTCGCACTCTAATGTCATGGTGATTTGAGAAAACCCCAGCTGGTGGAAGAACGGCACAGAGAAAGGAATAGGCTACCCCGCTTTGGCAATGTCTCCCACCAATGTCTGAACTACCTCTCTGCAGTTTGGCCAAGCACCCTTGGGGACTTCTGTAGTAATTCAGAGATTGGGGACAAGGTATCCAGTGCCCTATCATTCTGTAGGGAAAGCCATGAAAACCTTCTGGCTACTAACCCAATAGGTCCCGAGGTGGTTTCCATGTTTGGAAGGCATACCTGTGTTGTGAAGCTGAGTCCAGAGATCCCCTGTAGAGGGTTTCTCCTGCGGAGTTTTGTATTTGCCAGTTATTTCCAATGTGGGCCATTGAGCTAGGCATATTTGCTGACTTCCATCTTTTGACCAGCACCAAGTTCTCTTGCACCCATAGTGTGCATTCTAGGCTGTACCAATTTGCACTTACCAGCCCCATTTGTGTGAATAATGTATCCAGTCAGCATCCTCATGTAGTTGCCCATCCAGCTGCAGGCCAGGGCCTTTTCAGTTTAGCAAAGACAAAGCCACATGGTAGCCACCGCATCAAACTGTCCCTCACACACACAGGGGGGCCTATTCCAACTTGTGCCAATTGGCTGTTGCTCTCTTGGGTGCTGTAGAGATGTTGCCAGTCCACCACCACCACCAAACTAGACCACTGTGCCTCAGTGGTCCTTGCCTGTAGTGGCCTCACATGGAGATTGTTTTTCCCAGGGACCTATGGAATCCTTTTCAAGCCAAATATGAATTCTTCCTTATTACTCTCCTTTGGCTGATCTGGGGTGGCAGTGCCTGCCCTTCTGCAATTTGCATGTCAGTGTTACCTGGTCTTTGGTCAGGATCTAGACATGTGACATTTCCAGGTGTAAGAAATCCATGCAGGGTTTTCACCAGCACTACTGAAACAGAAGCATTCTATTCTTGAAAACGTAGGAATGAGGAAGTCCACTGTTTTCTTTCCACAGGGACATATGGTGTAGAAGGGAGTAACAAAATTAACAGAAGTACACAGAGACAGCCAGAGTAGCAATTCCAAGAAACTCCCCCTCTTCCCTTCAGCATTATTATCTAGGCTACTTAGCATTAGGCAAATGCAAGTCTCTCTGTTTCAATCTTCAAGCCGGGACCCGATCCTGGTCCCTGATAGGCTGCTTTTCTTCAGGGCTCTTCTCCCTTGCCCCCTCCAGTTGCGGGCCCTTGCCTGACCATGATGTCAGCTTCTTCTCATCCTGGTCTGTTACGCCACTGGTCCTCCCTTGCAGGGTTGGTGTTTGAGCAGGAACTTCAGGTCCTCCATAGGTTCCATGGTCCTTTGGTCTCCTTGGGTTTTTGAACTTTCCTCAGCCTGGTGTAGTATCCCTACATAGGCACTCCCTCAGATCTCACTGCTGTGTAACGAGGTGCATCTGGGCATGGTCCATCCACTGCATCAATGATCTCCAGGCAGTCCAGTCTTAGGCAAGTCAGCTGATGTAAACCGGCAGCCCCCCCTTCCCCTGTGCCATTGCAAGCCGCAGGCAGCAACCAGCCAGTGGCCGCAGCTTCACACACTGCAGGCAGTCAGTTAGCCAGGCACAGCCAGGCAGCCAGCATGGCTGCCCTGGCCTCAGAGAAGGAGCGATGCCAGTTAGCTAACCAGCGTCACAGAAGGGTGGAGAGGGGTACCTGCTAGGACTGGTGCTGGAGAGGACCAGCCCCAGCCCCCCTCCCCTTCGCACCTCCATGCCAGGAGTTGCCCTGGTGCTGAGGAACAGCCATGCGTGCCCCAAGAAAGCACTGACTGCCAGTTTTCCAAGCCTGTGTTTACAGCTTTGGGGGAGTTTGACAAACCACCTCCTTCCTCTCCTGAGGCAGCTGGTATTCCCCCCCCCCCTCTTGAAAGTCAGAAACCCCAAATACTGCACCTGTTCTTGTGAGGTTTGCCTCTTCTCCTCAGTGACCCAATGAAATCCAGCAGATGTGCACTGGTCTGTGGCCTCAGTGGTGATTAAAAGATTGTTCGCATACTGCAGTAAAAACACCATTAGAGTCTCTAGTCCATTCAGACAAGTCCTTAGCCAGTGCTAGAGAGAAAGATGGGTGAATTCCCTCCTCCCGAGAGAGGGTGGTTCAAAACAGCTGGCTCTTTGTCCCATCCTGGCATTCTCATTTGAAGGCAAAAAGAATTGGTTCCATAGGAAGCACTCCATGAGCCCCACAACTGGGCATTTGGCCTGATGCCCTGTGCCCCCATCGTCAAGGATCCTTGTTGTGTCCCCACCACCAATTGGGACAGTCACAACTGAGCAGACTGCCCTAGTGTCCACCAAGAAATCCATGTCCTCATCTCCCACCCTCATTCTCTCCTGGGGTTGTAGGGGTGATGTAGAACTCTTCCCGTGAGTTTCCTATTCTTCCCCCAGTCTCCAAAGTGGCCACGACAGCCCAAGCCTTGTTCTGGGGGTATTTCCTTTTCCAGTGTCGCTCCTGTTTGCACATCACACACTTATTCCTTCCTCACCTATGAAACTCCAATCTTGGCTGGCTGCTGAGACCTTCTGTCACTCCCTGCTTTTCCCCATTCGTGCTGCAGCGCTGCCTTCATCGCTACTGCCATCAGATCCATTTGCAGGCTGTCTTTCGGTACATTTGCTTTTTAACTATGCATCATCTTTTCTGTTTCCAAAAACTGCACCTCACCCCCCCCCTGCAACATTCTCAGGGAGTTGTACACAATGCTTAGTGCACAGGCACCAAAGTGCTTGGGGAACAAAACTTGATTGAGCAAAACAAAACCAGAAAGAAGTGGAGGGATTTTAAAAGAGCACATGCACAGACAGGCACACATACAAAGAGGAAGAGGAAAGTGGATAGCAGCACCAATTACAAACTGAACTGAAACACCAAATCCCAAGCCCTTTGACCACCCCAGACCTCAAACAATGAGGCTGGCTGGACTATGGCTTTCTCAAGAGTAGCTAATCGAAGCAAAGATGGTCAGAGTCCTCATGGCAAGCTGAGCTGTCTCTCAGAGTGAGGGAGCTACTTGCTAGCTTGAGAAACCCCTCCTTTTTTTTCCCTGGATCCTAAAGGTAGCCAGTTTGAAAGACTGAAGGGCTGGTGATTCCAAAGTGCAGCCATTTGGCTAGGATTCAACCACCCATTCATGCTCTCCTGGCCATGAAAGCTACCACTGCACCCAGGCATGGTGGCAGAATTCCCCAGAGCTCCCCCCCCCCCCGCACCCTGCAAAGCCCATACCCATGCTGCGCTGCCGGATTTTGGAGGGGAGAGAGTGAGTTCTACTCTCCCTCTTCTCTATCCTCCCCAGTGGGGACCAGTCTGCACTTTTCCAGCAAATTCAGACTGTCAATGTAACAAACGCTTGACAGGAGCTGGAGCTGTTAACAGGTATATTGAAAGTAAAGTTGCAACTTTTGGGGAGTTTGAAAATTGATAGACTCTCCAGGTGGCCACTTTGCCCCACTGTCCAATTGATGCTGGAGCCAAATAGAATTACAGTAGATGTTTAGTTTTTTTTTTTTCTTTGAGATGGAATCTCCTTTTGAACCTTTCCCAATTTTCCAAAAGGCAACCCAGAGGCATACGCATTTGTTTTGACTTACCCTGACCCATGATGCTGAGCATTCCCCAGAAGACCTTTAGAAGGATTTTCAGCAGACCTCTCTGATGTTGTAAGCCGCCCCGAGGCTTCGGCAAGGGGCGGCATAGAAATGTTTTAATAAATAAAATAAAAATAAATAAATTTTCCTTCTGTCAATTCTGCCAGGCGTCCCTGGTCAAAAGTGCTCATGCACTTATGCGGGATCTGCTCACCCTGGACTCAAAGCACGGTAATATACCAAAAAGAGTTTCTAAAACTCCCCCCTTCCACCCAAGGAGCTCCCCCTGATTCTACTCGAACTTGCCTATTCCCATAGAGTTCAACTCTACTCAGGAGTCACCGCCCGTCAGACAGGGATGGGCAACTTACCGGCCTCTAACTAGAGGCCCTTCCCCCCCCCTTTTTGAACCGGGTCTTCCCCCAAGCAGTTACCCTTTTTACCAGAGGCTTTTTCTTACCTGGGAACTCCTTGTCTTGTAGGGGTTAGCTCTCTCAGTCTCGTTTTCCTCTCAGCCACCCTTTCCTCAAGCCCTGCTCATGGCTGGTGGAGGCTTCCGGCCAAATTTGCCTCAGCCCAAATGCTGAGGGAGAGCTCTCTAATGCCTGTTCCACTTGTCCGAAAAGAGGTTCTTTGAGGGAGAAGGTTTAAGAATTTTGAGGCAAAATTCGCCTTTAGTCCACTCAGTGCCCCACGTTGGGCATCAAAACTGTTACCGGACTCAGCCAGTCAACAGCTGGGGCAAACCCGGGTGGACCCCAGACCCGAGCCAAACAGAGCCTGAGACGAGACTTAGAGCCAAAATCAGCTTTATCTAGTGCACTATAGAATAAAGGGAGACAAAAGGGGACATTCAGCCCAAAGCAGTGTCTCAAAAGTTGCACCCCAGTACATGCGTTTTATACCCTAGGTAACCAATTAGGTCACTTAATACACATCTAATGCATCGATACATCAATGTATGCACCCCCTCCTGTGCTGGAGAAAGAGTCCTTTCTTCTGTCAAGGACCAGACATTTCCCATGTCTATTTCTTATCTGCTCGAGATTCACACAGGCTTGCCATGTTCTTACTCCCTGCACATTTGCAACTTTCATGGCAGCTAGAACCAGTTTCCACTGTCCCTTTGATTACTGTATGCGAGGTCAGGCTAGCGTGTTAGCTGTGGGTTACACAAAGTTCATTTTGTTCTTACCTGCCCTCCCTTCTGGGACAGTATAACTCTGGTGTTTTTACTATGGGGCCTTTCTCTGGCCAATTACTTTTGGGGTGCTGCAATTGGCAACACAGGCTTGCTTACCTGTCTCACCAATACAGATGGAAGCCAAGAGGAAGCATGGGCAGACCACCGCATAGAAGCTGCGCCGGCTTCTATGGCTAGCTTCACGTTCTCCAGCTTTCTTTCCATGCCTGCTTACTGAGATCAGTAGGAATTACTCGCACGTAAGCACCAATGACTGGAAAGAGCTATAGCCTTATCCCTAAACAAAACCAAAGAGGGGTGGGGGTTGAGCGGAGAAAGGTGCTCAGGATATTTAAGATCGGTGAGGAGCAGGCAGCCCCCACCAGAGGGAGGAGAGGCGTGGCTACTATTGTGACTCGCCCCGCCGTTTGTCCCTCGAGCCAATCGCTGTTCTAGAACCGTGCGGTGGGTGTGGTTAGGAGCAGCCTCACTTACATTGTCGCTTGTGTACCTCTTGCCGCCATCGCGATACCCCTTTGCTTCAGTGGTTAACGGATTTTTGCGCATCTTCAGCAGCAAGACCGGTTTCGGTGAGTGCGTTTTCTCCCTGAGAGCCCAGACAGCTGTAGGAGTCCTGGCGAGGAATGCTTATGTCGGCTATAGGAGAGAAGAATTGGGGAGAACTGGTTCTTAGGAAGGCTGGAGAAAGGAGAGCTGCTACCCAAAATGGCGGTTGTCCATAAAGAATGAGCGGGCGGTTGCGCGCATGCGCCAATTTTAAATACCTCTTGCTGTCTCCTCTTGTAATGCATGGTATGTGCTTGCTTCATAGGGCTAGTCCGGGGAGGCGACACTCCCTAAGGAATGGGAAAAGTTAGAAGAGCAGTGTAGTCCTAGGTCGCCGTAATAGCGGAATAACGGGGGGGCGGGAGCGAAATGGACCTACTGCGCGTGTGCAAGGATTGTTCGCTGAGCGCGGGACGGCAGTGGGCCTGTATTTGCGCATGTCCGTTTGTGTTCTCTCGGAAGAACGTGAGATACGCTGCGCTCTCCTTCCCGCATTCTGTTCAAACCACGTGTTCGCGGCCATTTTACGCGGGGGGGGAGAGAATTTGTTGGGAAGGGGGGGCAAAAGCTCCCCTTTTCCGTTTTTATAAGCCGTCAGAAGCTGTAGTAATAGGTCCCTATTATTATGTATTTTCATTTCTATACCGCCCCATACCTATGCTTTGTTAGATTGGAGATATAAGTTGCAGTTTAGATGAGTTAAGGGCCCAGATGTTTAAAATTTTCATACACAAGTCAGATTGTAGCATCATGGCATGCTTGTTCGTCTGACAAATGAAAGCCCAGGTTCCAGTCATCGCGTTGCCACGTTATTGGCCAAACATCTTACATCCTCCAAACTTTAGGATCTAAAACAGTCTTCTCCAGCCTAGTAACCTCTAGATGTTTTGGGCTCCAAATCCCAGCATCCTCTAGCCATGCCTACTAGGAGTTGCAACTATGTCATATCCAGGGGTGATGCAGTGTGGTCTATAGGTTGCATCTTTAGCTGAGTTTATTGGACATGTTGCTTGATCTTGTATATGTTTTACTTGAAAATATGTCTCACTGATGTAAATAATTTCAATACATGTAGGATTACAGTTACAGCTTGCTGCAGCATGGAATAACACATACTTAGAATTTGTGGAGACTGAGAATACATTTCTTGAATCAAATCCTTTAGAAGAGCAGTCTAGAAATAAATAACTAGAATTCATATGAAAAATGTAATTATAGCAATGGCATCTTAAACTGCAGTTCAGATCATTACAATGTGGTTGCAGATGATGTGAAAGGCAATTACATCTTCTCTGCTTTTCTGTTCAGATAAATATGACCTATGGATACTAGTCTGCCATTCCTAGTTTCCTGAAAAGGCCTTAGAGAAAATGGGAGAGGCGATACTTCTCAGAGCTTTCCCTCTGCAGAACCCAGCCACAGGGTGATTAATACCTTATTACATGCAACTCAGGAAGACCTTCAAATACTCCCTGTTATCAGAGGAGGCAAGAATCCTTGATGCTCACTTTGTGATTAGCATGAAGAGGATCCTAAGCAGTGGAGTTGACCACACATTTGAAGTTAATTCGCTCCTACTGGATTATAGCTACTGACTTGTGCATATATGGACAAGTTACTAAGCATTTCCTAGTGGTTTATAGGATGATGAAGAAAAAAATCATCTAGATGCATTGCTCTGCTTGTGGACTCCAGGAAACAACTGCAGCCCATAGAAAGCACTAGCCATCACTTGAAAGATTGACTAGCTATGTTGAGGATTTTGGATCCCTGAAGAGATATACACAGCCTTAAAAATTCACTAACATGGGCTTGCAACATTTTATATATTTAAAAAAAATCGAATAATCTTATGCCTTTAAAAATAATGGCATAAAATCAGCTCTACAGTATTATAAAAGGAAGCACCAAAAGAATAGGGGAGGGTGGAAATAGGATTCCTACTTTAAGTTACTGCATGCACCTGTCTGGCACTTGTATTATAGTTAGGCTGTAATTTTGTCCACATGTAAGTGGGTGTAAGCCCTACTGGAAACAATACTTCTGAGTACAAAGTAAATGTATTTAAAAGCAAGGAGCCTAGGAAACTATTTTTGTTAAAACAATTCAGTGTGTTGCCTTCAGAATAATATATAGCTAGAAATACAAAAACAAAAGACTAAACTTCCAGATTCTGGCCCAGGGCACAGAGAAAGTAACCCTGCTGAGTTTGCCCTACTAAACTAGCAGAAATACTTACTGATCTCAATTAGGTGTGAAACACACTGATAGTAAAACAAAGCTGGAGGCTCTAGGCAAAAAAGTGAAAGTAGGGACAGAATAAGTGAGGATACTTTCTTACAGGGCCAGACACCTGCAAAAGAACTGGATAGAACAGTATAGTGGGAAGGGGCCTATAACCCGTTGAGCCCAATCCCCTGCTCAGTGCAGGACTCCAGGGGTTTTTATATTTATAATTTGTATTTGATTTTTAGACTCTTTCAACAAAACATCAGCATAAAACTGGTGAGTATCCAAAATGAGCAAAAACACAAATACATATAGCAAATGAGAAGGGAAGGAAGAAAAAAGCATAGTCACACAGTAACAATCAGAGCTGCATTAAACTGATATTGAGAGAATTACTAATAATAAAACATCCCTGGCAGGTGGCTGTCTTAACTGCTGCTTGAATGCTTCCAATGAGGGAGAGCCCACAACCTCCCTTGATAATTGAGTCCATTGATGCACTGCTTTAATTTTGCCCTGTTAGTCCTAACTTTATACCATATTATTTAGTGGTAGCACAGAGAGCAGCTGGGTGTAAAAGAGTTGTTTTAATGTTCCATTGAAAGATGAGTAGTAATTGTTTAATCCTTTACTTTGCTAGGAAATTTAAAATATTTATTTATTTAAAACATTTGTATGCCACCCAGTTGTGCCATGGCACCTCTGGGCAGTTCACAACCACAAGATAAAAACACAATAAAACATAATAAAAACCAATAGCACATTAAAAATAACAATAAAATACAAGCAAAAAATACAAAACAAAGGTCTTATGGCATTAGTTATTAAAATATTTTTGAAGGCCTATTGGGTTGTTGATGTGTGCCTACTTGGAAATAAATAAGGACCACAGACTATACTACATATTTCTAACTCTTGCTTGCCTAAACAAATGTTCGTTTCTCTACAGATTACTTGAACAATGGCATCGGATGAGGGAAAGCTCTTCATTGGAGGACTCAGTTTTGACACCAATGAGCAGAATCTGGAGCAGTTGTTCTCCCCCTATGGAGACATTGCAGAAGGTGAGGAAAGGTGTCAGTAAGCTAGTTGATTGGGCTTAATGGTTTGTGTTTGCACACAGTCACATGTATTAAGCTAGACACAATAACCAGGTGTGCTACAGAGCTTCTCACACTTGGGGGTAAAGGAAAGGAAAAAGTCTGGAAGAGGATGTTAGAAACCTTTCTTGCATTATTGCACAGTGGGGAATCATAGTCATTTGCAGAAGAAGTTTGTACTCCCTTTCATGTTTAAATAAATCATTATGTACATGCAAGTGGATTGTGTGAAGGAGAAGATTCCAGTTTAGCTTTCTTAGAGACATGCTAACTTTGAATAGGAAAGGAAGCATTTGATGCATAGTTCAGCATCTACCCATGTTCTTAAGTACAACCCAGTGGCATACAGTATATTTTGCTGTGCAGGTTGTGTGTTGCACATCCTCCTTTCTTCAAGGTGCAATAAAGTGCATACTCCCATTTTGGTGTATTGGTAGCTGTAGTTGATCATCCAGCTAAGTGACACACTATGATATGTTCATCTTCATTTGTTTTAATATGAACTCAGTTCAGTGAAAATGCAAAGTATGCCATTCAGTCCTATAGCTCATTCTAAAAGTAGTCTCTCTGAACCCTGCCTAATCCCACCAAGTACATCTAACCTTTGTTCTCAACTTCCCCAAAACAGGTGGGTGGGTGGGTGTGTCCGTCCTTACCGCAGCTGATGCAAGCCTCCTTAACTATAGTTTGGCATGATTTTTGATTCAGTCAAATTTCTCACTCCAAAGCTTTGTTGTTGTTGTTGTTTATAATTAGCAAAAAGAAGACAGAAGGTGGTGAAGCACAAAGCAGATTTTAATTGAATTCTAATGGCACTTGGCCACATCTCCCTCAGTTTCAAACTGATGGTTGTATAAGTCAGACATAGTTCTTAAATGTGATGGAAGCCTGGCCCTGAGTCTTTGAACTGTTATCTACTTACTTACTTTTTTTAAATTTGCATTTATATACCACCCTAATAGCCCAGAGGGCTCTCTGGGTGGTTTACAAACATTAAAACCTACCAATCCTAAACAAATAAATAAATTGGCTATACCACGACAGTATAAAATAACATAGTTTAAATAAATGAATTAAATAAATATAGCATTGAAGTTAACTAACTTTAAAATATTGGTTAAATAAAAAGGTCTTGACCTGGTGCTGAAAAGCATATAATGACGGCACCAGGCAGACCTCTCTAGGGAGCGCATTCCATAGTCGGGGCGCCACCGCAGAGAAAGCTCTCCTCCAAGTACTCTGTTTCCTAACCTCTTTCAAAGAGGGTTCCCGGAGGAGAGCCTCTGCTGCCGATCTTAGGGGGCAGGAGGGCATACAGGGAAATTCTTCTGTCTTCTTTCCAAGATTCATCTGAGTGGTTATAGTAGCCTCTCAAGCTGTCTTGTTGGCAATCTAACATTGGTGGCTAGACAAAGGGACCAGGGACTTAATGCCTCTATGTAAATAATGGGAGCATGAATATCCTCCATTGACATTTTCTTTTAATCTGCAGTGGTTGTGGTGAAAGACAGGGAGACTCAGAGATCCAGGGGGTTTGGTTTTATTACCTATTGCCGCCCAGAGGATGCCAAGGATGCTATGAGAGCTATGAATGGAGAGGTGAGCACCAATGCCAGAGAAATGCTTTCCTTGAATTATTTATACTTTGTTCAACCCATCTGCTTCACAACTGCACTAGAATTTAGACGTTGCTAGCTGTAATATTCTATTTCAGAATCTTTCTCAAGTGGACAACACCTTTATGGGTATTGTCATGTCTCTTCGTTTGCAATGAACTCTCTAAATTTAGTATTCCTTTTTTCATGGGTGTGTGAATTCTGGCAGAAAAGGAGGCTGGAAGTTGTAATTCGTATGATATTGATTCCCTGAGTCAGCAAAACTGATAAATATTCTGGAATTTAAGACAGCTTCTGGCTGAGTAAAGTGAAATGAAATGACTTTCATCATAAAATGATTTGTTGGTGAATATGTACTG